AGGAACCCTAGCCAAACAGCTGGGCATATTCACCAGATTAAGTCCAGAAAGGAGGAAGGAATATGGAGGAACCAGCCACAAAAGGAAGGAGGACCTATCTCCAGATGATCTGATCCCCCAAAATCCTTTGGACATGCTCTTTCCCCAACGGCAAGTACCTGCAACAGGATCCCATCTTGAGACAATCCAGGGGTACACAGGGTCCTCCAGCAATGCAGAAGATGCACCCTGGTTAACAAACATCTTCCCCTGAGGTAGACACTGCTGGTTGATGACAGTAAAATGCCAATGTATTGTCTCCAAGAAAGACAGTGTGGTCCAGAGTAGCAGTCTCTGCATAGTCCAGCATATGGAGCAGGTCACTAGTACTTTCACAGAGAGAACTCCCAAACCTTCCTGGAAGTGAAGGTCCTACAATGCATAAGTAATGTCTAACAACGTCCAGGTCAAGAAGTGATTTTGCCGTGGGATCCCTCAACACAGTGAGGACCAAATTTACTGGGGAACCAGACTTAAGCCACAAGTATGGAGAAGCGCCTGTCTGCAAGTGTGCCCTCCCAGGGTTGGGAGAAGAGACCACCTGATTTACCCTTAGAGACTCATGGGTCTCTGTAGGGACTTCTTGGTCCATAAGGACTGTCAGGATATCTCGCTTCAAGTCCAGACTCCGAAATATAGAGAGTGCTGAAAAAAGGTGTCAATGTGAGTAGGGTTTTGCATCAACACCCTACATGTCCATAAAGGTTAAGAAAGGGAATTTTCATGACAACTAAGGAAGCGTTTATTGACCCACAGGGTATAGATTTCTTTAACAAGGGTTTGAGGTGGAAGCCTTGCCCATTGGTGACCATAGTTGCCAACTCTAGACACCTGTGAGGCCCCATCTGGTCAAAGCTTGCAGGTGTTAGGCTCTTCAGAAGAGTTTTGACTTGAAGGATCTAGAAAGCTGACCCTCTTTAGTGAAGTTCATATAAGCATTCCACTATGGGGATGCCAGGAAAAGGCACTTGAGTGGACATAAGGTCCAATGCTTCAAAAAAATGGCAACTACTTCTGAAGGACACTGAGGGGTCAGGTTGTTATTAGGCAAGGAAGCAGCAGGAACTAGTTCCAGTCGACCCTGTAGGTCAGCTGGTCCCTCTGGAGTGGGGGGTTTTACATTATACAAGAATATAGAATTTCCCCTTAAAAAGGAAGTTTAAGTCCGTAAAGGCAATTCCCCATTCAAACAGGAACAAGGGGTCCCAGGGTGCGAGGAAGACCTGGAAAAATGCTATGCAAAGTACAGTAGCACAAAAAAAAATGCTGAGGGACAGCTGAAGGAGATGCAGGGCAATAGATTAGTCTGTGGGCTAAAAGGGGAGTCTTGGGCACCCAAATGCCAGGGAGCCAAACTAGCCGAGGATCTGGATGTACAAGAGGGGGGCTCTTATAGAAGTGGGGGCACACCTTCATGCAGAAGGCTTACCATAGGGTTTAGATAAACTCTGGCTTTGAACCTTACAGGCTAAGTGGGAGTTAGGCTGTAAGGGTCTATGGGTACCTGCTGCTGAAGTAGATGAAGAACAAGGGTGGGCTATATCGGACCCCTCCACTGACTTCCTGTGTTGAGACAGGAGCCCAATCAGGCCATCTGTTACATAAGAAATCATAGGGGTCTATTCACGAAGCAGCCGAAGGATCTAGCCGTAGCTTCAGCCGATCCTTCGGCTAGCTTCGGCCCCAGGACCCCTTCGGTTCAGTAGAACCGAAAGGCTGCTGTACGGGCTAATCACTATAGCCCGTACAGCTCCCGAACTTGGCCGAGGGGCTCAGTCGAGCCGAACTCATATGCCTCGGCTCGGCTGAGCCGCGCTGAAAGCCGAAGCTGGCCATTGATGTTACGGCCATTGGCCGTGATGTTACGGCTGGCTCCGGCCACTTGGAGAGATCAGCGTCCCTGGTTACCAGCTAACCAGGGACACTGATCTCCAGACAGCAAACTCTCGCGGGCGCTCCGGGAGTCTCCCGCTCCCAGCCGCCACGGAGAGAAATACTGCTTTTTGTTTTTTTTCCTTTATTCTGACAGGGAGCCGTGTCAGAATAGAAATAAAAAAATGTTGCCGTAGGAATGCATTGCTAGATTCCTATTGGCTATTTCAATTTGCAATAGCAAACTAGCATTGCACACGCCCTCTGCTGCAGTTCTCCATCAGGTCCACCACTACTGATTGACAGCAGCAGAGGGCGGGTACAATAGCTAGTTTGCTATTGGCTTTTGCAAATTGAAATAGCCAATAGGAATCTAGCAATGCATTCCTTTGGCCAAAAAATTGTATTTATTTTTTTTCTATTCTGACACGGCTCCGTGTCACAATAAAGAAAGAAAAAGCAGTGTTTCTCTCCTTGGCGGCCAGGAGCAGGAGCGCCCGGGAGAGGTTTTTTTTTCTTTTTTTTGACAGCAGCAGAACCGCCGGCAAAAGAAAACAGTTGGGCGGAGCTAGCTGTCACTGCTAGCTCCACACAATCGTTTTCTATTTATTTTTTTCTACTTTTTAAACAATTTTTCTGTTCTGCTCGGTCCCACAGAGAGACCGAGTAGAACAGCCGAGCTGAATGCCGCTCAGCAGGGCCAAAGAGACACCGTCTCCCAAAGGCTAATTAAGTCTTATTTTCCTTGAATACAGCATCAGCATCCCAACTACACAACCAAAGTCCTCTGTGCATCTGCATAGACATCAGTCCCATGTGAGACACAAGTTTAGATGCTTGTATTGAACCATCACACTAAAGCTCAAGGCTCCAGACATTTACTTTATGAAACTGGGACTTACCCCACCAATAGAGGAATCTTTTTTACGGAAATCTACCCATTCTGACATGGTTTGACAGACTAATTATAACCGCCAAAAAAGGATGGAGGGCCACACCAGTCAAATCAAACTAAGATTCAAAGGAGGGGCTCCTTTCGAGCATGGATCACTAGTGCATCTATTCTACCTATTAACAAATTCCCTGTCAAAGGCAAAAAGTCCTGCCACACTCTCAGGTTAGCTCAGGACCCTTCAGGGTGTTTTCAGTCACAGAGGAATGACCTAAGGACCGGAAAAGCAGGCTGACCCTCCAGAAGCAGGGTAATATGCATTACATTAATAAGGTTTGAAACAACTCCCTTTAAATGGCAAGAGACTGCAGTGCCTCAAAAACAGTCTCTTCTGAGACTGGCTATTGAGATCTAGGCCCGATTTCAATTCAGGGGCTCAGAATTGTGAGAGTCAGACGTTCCATGGGATGGTGCCAGAGAGCTTAGAGTCTCTGTGGGCAGAGTTCTCCAGTAGTGGACATGGTGGTACCTGTTAACATAGAATGTATGAAGGTCTTGCTGCAATCCTTAACGGATATCCCAATAGCAGGGGAAGGTGCTCGTAATGACTGTGGATGGCGCTCCTTGCTGTATGAATCATTTGAAGAAATGTCACCAGCACACCAAAAGTCCTTTCAGGATCACCAAGGACCACATTGTTAAGCCTGATGAAGGGACCCTGCACAGCCCAGAAAGTGCTCGCTTTCATTTGACATGGCCCTTATTAAATGAACACATGATGATCCTGAAAGGACTTTTGGTGTGCTGGTGACATGTCTTCAAACTATTCCTGTTAACATGGCCTCAGCCACACCCAACAGAACTAAGAAAGAATCAGATGAGGATGACCCTATAACGATCTACAGCCAGAACCACTAGGGGACTATTTACTGAGGTCACCCGTGGTAGCAGGACTCTTTGGGGGTGATTTACTAACCTAAACACACGCACGCACTAGGTGCGTGTGATTTTTACACAGCAAAACGTATTTATCAACCAAAAAGTCTCTAAAAGCATATTTCCACTAATGCCATATATGGAAAAATCATGCACATGATGCATATATAATGCTGCTTCACAGTTTAGACAAAAATGGTTAGCTCATGCATTTATATTCCTGCATTCATCAACGCAAGCAACACGACATAGAGCTAATTTACACAACATCACCTTGCAAATTAATGCAGGGCTTTGCACAACACACCTGCTGGGTGTGTACACACTACAAAGGTGTTTAGATTCCACCCATAGATCATGCTGGGAGGGAACACACTACAGAGGTGTATACATGTTCGTGGTGTGTTTATAAGGTTAGTAAATCAACCCCTTTGTGTCTTGGGGAAGACATTTTGTGTCCATGTCATGGAAATGCAACTAGTCTAGTAAGGCAAGGCCTTAATGCTCACAAACCCAGGCAGCTGGTGCTGATGAGAGTTTTAGATGGTCAGATGGGACTAAGTAAATGTAGGTGGGTAGTGGAAGCATACTGGAGACCATAGCAGGAGCGGAATGATGCTTAGTAAAGAGAGTATGGCATATGACGTTAATGCTCGATCCATCAGCCTTAACCCTTACTGTGGTGAATATCAGAGGTGGTGGGAAATTGGAAAAGGATCCGAGTGGTGGAACAGCCTGATCTGACTTATTCACTAAGAGACAGGGTTGCAACTGAGGCTGCGCAACCCCTCTGGACCTGCTAAGCACTCTGCAGCTAACTAACACAGTACACAGATGTCTGGAAAGTGCCACAATGCAGAGCCTAGTGCCCAAAGATTACATTACATAGTAGCCCTGCATGTCCAGTCTAGCAGGTTCTGGGCGCCAAAGCTATTGCTGAGGAAACACCCATCCACATAACTGCTATGCAGAGACCAGCTTAAGCAACAGAGGCTAGCATAACAGGTAAACTTTTTTAAAGGCAGAGCTGAAGAAAGGCGCCCAACCTCCTAGGACACTACCAAAAAACTGAAGCATAATGAGTAGAGGCAGACTTATACGGGGGCTGGCTAAAAACTTTTCTATTTGCCAGTGTCTCAATCTTCGGAAGGCTGTAATATAACCTGACTGTTTCTGAATTCCTGTGTCTCTCAATTGACTAGAAAGAAAAATGAATACTGTATATTTTTTTTAATACCATTTACTTTAATTCTGTCCACAGGTTAAAGTTTGGTTTCAGAACCGAAGAATGAAATGGAAGCGTGTTAAAGGTGGACAACCAGTATCGCCAAATGAGCAAGATGCAGATGATTTGGACTCTACAGCATCTCCCAGCTCTGAATAACTTAATTTTTACTGCAGTTGTCGAACTTTCTTGTTTAATTTCTCTATAAAGACAATATTCTATTTTTGATCCTCCAGTCCTCATTGAAAATCGTTTTTTGTCTAGAGAAAAAAAATTCAACAACATCCACAGTTTAAGAAAAACTTTAAAAATGAAACAGCTACATTCCGTTTAATGCATTGACAATCATTTCAACTCTTTTCATAGGCTGATAAAATGCTAATTAAGCTATCATGAACATTTTGTCCAGCGATTCATTATCATCACAATTTAGCATTTATACCTTTAGCTTAAGATGGATAGTTTTGTGTCTTGGACTTCTCAGAGCTAGGTTTAATATTAGATCATGAGATACCAGTGATACAGTGTTTTATATACAGAAATCAATCAACATTCCAAGCCTTGTCAGGATAAAACTTTTTTTTAAAAGCATATTCATCTCATATTTTTATTAACTTTGTACATGATAAAAAGGGAAGATGTAAGCGTTTTTTAGAATTGTTTTAATCTTTTTTTCTTGTGTTTTATCATTCTTGCCTTTACATTAATTCCTCAGACTTATATTTGACTGTATTTTTTTTAAGAAAAACGTTTTTAAGGTATTGAATTGCAGGATTTATTGTGTAAAACATTTCTTTTATTACAAGTTTTTAATTAATAAAATATTGTTTGTGAAGATGTTTTGTGCTTATTTTAATGCAATCTAATAATTGTATATTCTTTGGTTAAACTATAAAATTATATGCTATGTAGACTGTCTATACCAGTAAGCTTTTTGTTTTTAAAGTACTCCTGGAACATTTATAAATGCCTGTTGATCCTGCCAGTAGAACCATTTGAAAGGCACCATATGAGGCAGACCTGATCAGACCATGTATCTGAAAGGGCTCTAAGATTAGAGATGATTAAATACATGGAAAAACACACTTATCCTTGAGATGTAAAAGTTAATTGTTTCATAGTGAAGAGAAATCCACTTTTGGAAAGTTGTCAACAGAACAGGTGTCCCTTCACCTCCTCTTCCAATGAGAGCTTTAAAATTGTGGATTTCCTATCACTTTATTTCTTAGTGACAAAGGTAAATAAAACAAATAAAGAGGATGAATCTCCCCAGCAGTGACACATACAAATCATGGAATGGCCAGCACAGTCTCCAGACTTAAACCCCATCGAGCTGGTTTTGGATGAACTGGAAGGGTGAAAGCAAAGCAACCTACAAGTGCAACACATTTGTAGGAACTTCTGCAACAGTGTTGGGAAGAACTTTCTGAACAATATTTGATTTCTCTTGTAGAAAGAATGTAACGAGTGTTTGGCTATTATATCGGCAAAAGGCGGCTACTTTGATGAGTGAACATTTAGATGATATTTTGTTAAAGAAAATAAATATATGATTTCTTTTGGATGTCCAATTGTTTATTTGTTTTATGCTTTATTTTCAGAGTAGATTGAGACATTAAACTGCGGTACACTTGTGCATTCGGATTCGGACAAACCTGCAAATCAACGAAATTCCATTGATTCAGCGGTTCATCCGAATTAACAAATTATTATATGCCCAAATATATATGAAAAACGTATTTGGGAACATAATAATTAGTTTGAGAATGTGCAGCGGTCATATTGGCCACCGGCGTATTCTGCAAATGCATGCTGCCATCCTGGAGGCGGGGCACATGTAGTCACACAAGCACATGTAGTCACATATACCAAGATATACACCAAGATGGCGGCGCCCAACAGGCGCTGGTGGCTGATATGAATTTTTATTTACATTTGCTTAAATTTGTTTGGTTTAATTTCGGAAGGATTCAAATTTTTATTCCTTTTGTTTTTTTGGATTTCAGATCCAAAATTCAACTAATAAATATTCATGTAATTTTATTGGTATCTATCTACCAGTAGCTGCCTCATTTCCCACCCTCGGCTTATATTCGAGTCAATACTTTTTCCCAGTTTTTTGTGATAAAATTAGGTACCTCGGCTTATATTCGGGACGGCTTATACTCGAGTATATACGGTAGGTTGGTTATTCAGATTTTGTATGTGTCCAAATTTCCGTTTCTGAATGATTCAGAACACAACGTCACATGGCCGTGCCTGTAATGCAACCCCAACAGCCAAAAAAAACATCTGATTGGCCAGAGAACAGTCACATGTCCAATTGAGTTTTTGTTAAGAAAGAAATCTGGTTGGATCTTGATTTTTTATAAAATGAACATTCGTATTTGTTTGCATTCATGCACATTCTAATGCATCTAAATGTCCGAATTTAATTAAATTCGTACTAAATATGCATGTCTGACATTAATACCTGTATACACACACACATACACATTTGTGTGAAAAGGAAAGTGCACCCTCTGAATTCCATGATACGAAGCGCCGATTTTTAAATGGGTTCAGGAGCTTAAGGTCCCGTCCTTGCTGGGGACCTCAACAGCCTTCAGGGGACCTCACGGTGGCTGACTTCTTCAGTGCCTGTCTGGCCACACATTGCCTCCTCCACCCCATTGCCCGCAAGACCAGCCCTGGTGAGACGCTGCACACAGCCCTGGTGAGGCTGTGTACACAGCCCTGGGGAGACAATGCATTATCATCTGGCTCTCATCAACCAGTAGTTTCCACTTTGGGAGAGAGGTCTTACACTTGGGTATGCCTCATCTCCTGCATGGCAGGAAAACAATATTGCTGAGGCAGCTGACTATTTGGAGACATCAGGGGTCTATTAGACCCCCAATGTCACCTATAGACCCCACTGAAGCTGAGGTAGCACAGATCATGCTTCACCAGGTTTTTCTCCGGTCACAGCAGCCAGAGAAATGAAAGCCTGAAACCGAAAGTGACAAAATCACTTCACTGTTGCTTCCGGATTCAGTAAGCCGACGGGAGATCAGACACTGAATGTGTGATGATCTCCATCTGGATAAGCTGCAGAGATCCGCCGCGTTGGTCCCGGGCCTGCACAAGGTACAGTGGAGCCTGGGATAGCCGGTTGCCGAGAGGAGACAACCACTTTTTAGCATCATACAAGTAATCACTTATGTGAAAACCGACTGTTGGCTGGAAAAAACAATGGACAAGCTCCAAGCTGATGCAACAGTTGTGATCTTGGTATGACCAGTTTAGGACTGTGCCATTTATATATGTATTGCAGTCCTGAAGTGTTTAAACCTACTGTATGTTTGTCACAACTGTTAAATAGAAGCTATTTGCTTAGTAACCTCTCACCCTCAAAAGTTTTTATTTGGATTAATGGGTCTATTCACTAAGCTGCTGTAGGCAGCCGAGTGACTCACCGACCCCAAGCGAAGTGAGCCGAACGCTGTACGGCTATTCACTTCAGGCTGGTACGGCTGATTCCAGCCGTATATCGGCTGAAATCAGCCGTACATCGGGTGGCTTCGAGTCCGCCGAACATGCTCTGCATGTTCAGCCGACCCGAAGTGCAGAAGGAGTTCGACTCAGCCGATCCAACATCTGAGCGGCATTCGGCTCGCCTGTTCTGCTCGGTCCCTCTGTGGGACCGAGCAGAATAGAAAAATAGTTAAAAAAGAGAAAACGATTGTGCGGAGCTAGCAGTGACAGTTAGCCCAACTGTTTTCTATTGGCGGGCGGTTCTGCTGTCGTAAAAAAAAAAAAATTGCCATAGGAATGCATTGCTAGATTCCTATTGGCTATTTCAATTTGCAATAGTCAATAGCAAACTAGCTATTGTACCTGCTCTCTGCTGCTGTCAATCACTAGAGGGGACCTGATGGAGAACTGCAGGTCCCCTCTGCTGATTGACAGCAGCAGTGGGCGGGTGCAATAGCTAGTTTGCTATTGGTTATTGCAAATTGAAATAGCCCATAGGAATCTAACAATGCATTCCTATTGTGAATTTTTTGATTCTGACGGCAGCCAACGGCTCGATGTCAGAATATGCTTTCACCTCGGCTCAGTCGAGGAATATGCCTTTGGCTCGACTGAGCCGCTCGGCCCACTTCGGGAGCTGTACGGGCTATTAGACATGTGTGATTCGTTTCGTTACGAATTTTCCTGAAATTCGTAAATTCGGAAGCATCCGAAATCTGAATTGCAGTTTCCGAATTATATCCGAAATACGAAATTCCGTTAACGAATTTCGGATCCGAATTTCTTTGAAACAGGAATTAATATTACCCCTGTGTAAATGAGGTTGAACAACATGACAAGATTTTTTTTTTTAATCCGAAATATGGATCCGGTGCTGCTGAGGGTTGCATTACAATACACAGGCAGGAAACACGAAATTCCGTTGACGGAATTTCGTTCCGTTACAAACATTCGTTATATTGAAGTTAAAAAGCAAAGTACATTTGTTAATACAGTATACTGGAGTTGATGGTAGTTTTTTTTTAATACGAAATTCGTATTTCGTTTGGTTGACCAATCAGAGGTTTTCTCTTCTGCTGCTGACAGTTGCATTACAATACAGGCAGGAAATACGAAATTCCGTTGACGTATTTTCGTTCCGTTACGAACATTTGTTATATTGAAGTTAAAAAGCAAAGTACATTTGTTAATATATTGGAGTTGATGGTAGTTTTTTTTTATCCGAAATTCGGATCCGGAATCCGTTAACGGAATTCGTATTTCGTTTGGTTGACCAATCAGAGGTTTTCTCTTCTACTGCTGAGAGTTGCATTACAATACAGGCAGGAAATACGAAATTCCGTTGACGTATTTTCGTTCCGTTACGAACATTTGTTATATTGAAGTTAAAAAGCAAAGTACATTTGTTAATATATTGGAGTTGATGGTAGTTTTTTTTTAATACGAAATTCTGATCCGGAATCCGTATTTCGTTTGGTTGACCAATCAGAGGTTTTCTCTGCTGCTGAGAGTTGCATTACAATACAGGCAGGAAATACGAAATTCCGTTGACGTATTTTCGTTCCGTTACGAACCTTCGTTATATTGAAGGTAAAAAGCAAAGTACATTTATATTGGAGTTGATGGTAGTTTTTTTTTATCCGAAATACGAAATTCGGATCCGGAATCCGTTAACGGAATTCGTATTTCGGATAAAAAA